GGCCCGGCGCGGTCGCGGCGGGTCGCTCCCGGCCGGGGTTGTCTTGTGTCTTCTGCGGCGCCCAGAGCCGTTAGGGTGAGATGGGCACCCCATAAACTGAGCGAATGAGGCCGTGAAACGGCCCTTTCTCCTCCCGTTCCGACACTGCAGCGTCGTTGTACGTTCAGCGCCTCCTACGACCGTAGCTGGGATCTCCAGATGCTGTAGTAGCAGTGGGAGCTTTGTTCTGCAAATGAAAGAGGTTAAATGGTGTTTTCCCCTCCGGGGTTTCCTCAGGTCCAGCAAGACCTTAACGTGGCCCTTGCAGACTTTGCTGAGCTGAAGCAGCAGCTGGAGAGAGAGGTGCTGGTGCTGGGCGTGCTGAAGCAGCTGCAGGAGGTGAGACGGGCGGGAATCTCTCGTCTGCCTGGTTTTGGTCCTCTCGGCCCAAGGCTTGCTCTGAGCTATCGGTAGCAGCGTTCTTTCTTCCCTGTTTTCTTTGCCTTTAGTTCGATGCTGCTCTCAAACAGTTTGGTACCTTGTTGCCGCTGAAGAAGTACATGTCAGCAGCTTGCCATCTGAACAAGGTAGTTCGTGGGGACAGCCGTCTCCTTGTCCCCCTTCCGGGTTGTTTTGTGACTCCTTCAGAACGGAATTGGGGCAGGCTTTGGGCAACCTTTTCCTTTTCCCTGCCAGGCCCGGAGGAGCCTGAAAACGATGGAGTCTCGTCGGGGCTTTGAGCTAAAGATTCTGAAGGCGCTTGGCCAGGAGCTCACGATACAGACTCAGAACATCCTGTACGTCTTGGGCCAGGAGTGGCAGCGCATGGTGGCATGGAAACTTCCCCAGTCACAAGGTGCACAGGCAGTTGGGTTGGGTGTGTTTCTCACTCCTGGTGAGGGGCTGGACTAGTTGATCCCTAAAGTCACTTCCAACCCTGTCGCTGAGCAATTCTGTTTTGAGACGTGCTAATCTTGGGGTGGCCTAGAGGTCTGTGGGGGAGCGTGTGTGCCAGCTACTTGCTTCTGATGACTGGAGACCGGGGGTGGGGGAGTGGCCGGGTTGCAGTTTTTCAGCTCTTTTGCAGCTTTGGAAGTGCGGTGTTTGTCTGCCACAATTTCCTTAGAACTCAGCTATCTAGAGGCAGCTACCCAAACGGAGTTGCGCTTGTGTCTGCCCGTAGAAGATGTGGCCACAGACCCAGGAGTTTCAGCAGTCCTTCAGGCTTTGGCCGTCCTGGGGGAACTGGACATGAAGTTCAAGCACTTTGGTAAGTCCTTTTTCTTCTGCAGCAGGTCTGTGAGTGTGAAAGAGGTTCGATTTCTGACTTTGCACGCTTGTCCAGCACAAAAATATTCTAAATTTGGGGGGGAGATGGGCGGGGGACAAATTTAATAAATAAATAAATAAATTTGGGCCTTGCGGCTTAGCTGTCCTCTTTTGGGGCCCTGTTTCCTCTACGTTCGAAAGAGAACTTTGGTGCTGTCCAGTTATTGAAGACAGGAGGAGGCATAGAAGCCTAGTTTTATAGGGGGCATCCAGGACAGCTGCATAATTTTTATGGCCTTATAGAGCAGAGGGGTTCAAAGGAATATCCCACTTAGGGCAGGAGATAAGTAAATAAAGCAGATGCTGTTTGATACAGTGCTCCTTTTTTCCCTGGAGGGCAGTATTTTAAAATTCCTTTTCACCTGGTCCAAAAGGAAGCCTCCCACCGTTTGTCCTCCTCCAGTCTCCACACACTGCCCTTGCAGGAACTGCCCCCTTCAGTGGAGCAAGGATAATGCAGAGGAAATGGCAACAGGCCACATGGGAAGTGCCATCAAACCGCGTCTGATCCTTTCCCTTTGAGCCTCACTCACCGCCCTTCCTTTCCTGCTTCTTCTTGCCAGGACAGTTACTGCTGAAGCACATCCTCAAGCCCTTGATCTGTTGCCCCTCCTTACGCCTGTTGATGGAAGAACAGCCTGATGCCGTCACGCTCAAATTTGAGTCTGTGGGCTCTAGTCTTGGCCATCCGTCCCCCTTGGAAGTGTTTGCAAAGCTCAAGTCGGTGTTCAAAGTTCTCCACCAATACCTGCTGGGTGAGGAGCTCATCCCACACTTGCATGGAGGAAAGCCATGAGCTGGGGGCAGTAGGAAAAGGACCCTAGATGGCCACAGGGACTGTTGCTCCTGTTGTTTGTTGGTTCACAGGGGGTCCCTGTCAAGCGGGGGGGGGGGGGACAAGGAGACCACAGAGCATTCTCGTCTCCCCAGGCACACCGCTTGCCCATTGCGAGGAAGAGGAGGAGACCAACTCCCAGCCCATCTTGGCAGAGGTGTTGGGCAACATGATCTGGAAGAAGATGTCAGATTGCCTCATTTGTGATTGCTTGGTGCACTCGATCCCCAACAACAGCAGCAAACTGGGACAGTATACAGAGGTGGGTGTGCTGCCACATTTGGTCAAGGGAACACAGCAGGCAAGCCAGACCCTGGGACATCTTTCCTTCCTTTCCTTTCTGAGTTGCTTCTTAAATTATGGAGGAGGAGGTTGGCACAGGAGATGGAAATGAAAGTGGGAACGATGCTTTTTTAGCACGTGTTTTCCTAATAGCATTTTTAAAGAGCGAGCAGGTTTGGTTTTTTCACTGCTGAAGAATTCTCAGTAACATTAAAGAACTGCTGTGGGGCTGGATAGATAATATTGCTACAGCTTGCCTGTTTCAGAGGGTGGGAGTGTAAATCCCCTTATCAGCTTTTCTCAGGTGCTTGACTGTCCTCCTTCCTATGCCCCCTCCACCCCCAGGTTATTAAAGCAACAGAAGAGTTTGAAAAAGCCTTAAAAGACATGCAGTTCCTCAAGGAGGATTCCACAGACTTGTTGACATACGCCCGCAATGTTAACTGCCACTTCGCTAACAAGAAATGCCAGGATGTAATAGTGTCAGCAAGAAATCTGATGACCTCAGAAATACACAACACTGTGAAGGTAGTGGAACGTTGTTGTTGTTCATTTAAAGTAATTGGATTTGAACACATTTTGCAGTTGTCTCCTCGGTGGTCTTGCAGTCTTTAAATTCCACACCATTGGATAAGTCTACCCTCTTGGCCGTTAAGGGAGAGTTGCAGAACGCAGGGTGTCATCCGCCCCCCAGTTGCTACCAGATCAAAAACGTTCACTGTGTTAGAAATGGAAACTTATAAAAATACGGCTGGGATGTTGTCATATTCATTACATTTAAATATAAAATTTATATTTATTTCATATGAAGAGTAAATAGAATTTCCTTTTTTGGGCTGTCCCTATCCACACCTTTTTGGAGTATGGCCCTTGGCATCACTCAGTGGCCAAATTACTGGCCTGGAAGAAGATGCAGCTTGCCCCTTCATGAAGTATTTACTAGGCGACCTTGAGCCCCTTGGTTCATCTGTTTCCAGGCTACGTTATCTGGAGACAGGTAGTTATTAGGGCAAAATGAGGTTGGGAGAGAAAAGAACCACGTGCAATTCTGCCTTTGGCATTTGCCAACCCTCTGCTTGGCCCAAAAGTATTATCATTCCTTCAGTGTTCAAGCCTGCCAGTTTACAGGGATGGTAGCACTTGACCTCTTCAGCCTTTCACAGCCCTCATTGTTTTTCCTACAGAAGGCTGAAGCGAGTATGTGTGAATCGGCTCAAACGTGTCTCTAAGTCCCCTTGGTCTTTTAGATACCCTGACCCTCTGTCTTTCAGTATCAGGTGCTAAGCAGTGTATGCCTTCCATTTCTTCCCCAGGTTACCCCAGACTCTGTGGTCACTCTTCCCACGCTGCCTGACTCTGGTGCAGGTGACCAATTAAAAGTGCTGGAAGCGCCCCAGGTGCTCCTCAAGCAGGTGACAAACTTGGAGAACAAGACCAAGCTCAGCCGCCACACCTTCTCTTTTCCCACCTGCCGCATCAGCGAGTCTGTCCAGAAATTGATGGCTTTGGCCTATCAGACGCTCCAGGAGGCATCTGCCAGCACAGATCCGTGGTGAGGGCTGTTACGGTTGATTTCCATCACAGATTGCTAGGTTTGCGACGTGGGCACGGCTGTTGGGCTCTTGGCGGTATGGAGGCAGGCCACCCCTGTGGTTGCCTTGGCAGTTTGATTCCCAGCCTGGTTTTTCTCAGGCGAGAACCTCCACACCCTTCAAGGGGAGGTGACCCCAGGTTTGTTAGACAGCTAGCAAGTTCCCCTTTTGCAAACACGGGTCCCAAAGGGCGTGCTCAGAGTTAGATGTGGCCCTCTTGTCTTCTCTGGCAGTTGCATCCAGCTCTTCTACTTGGTGCGGAACATCTTCCACCTGTTCTGTGACGTGGTGCCGATGTATCATAAGTGAGTGATGGCCTTCCTTAAGGGGAAATTGGCGTGGGCGAGGGGTGTGCGAGGCGCAGCTCTGATCCAGCCTAATTGAATTACTGAGTTCTCCTCCCCCTCCTTTTAATTTTGTGGAGTTATTTTAAAACACTTAGAGCAGCAGCAGCCCGTCCAGTTCTTTAAAAGTGAGTTTATAACTTCCAAAAACCATATTCAGTGAAGTTGAAGTGAGGTATATTTCCCGCTTGCGAGTCTTAATCCAACGCTAGTCCAGATTTTGAGTGCGGTCAAGGAGAGGATGCTTTCAAGGTGATGATGCTCTTACCGCCTCCCACGTTAGATTTTTTTGTGCACTGGTGTGCATGGAGCTTAGTTCCTGCTCTGCAAATCCGCCGGCTTCATTCCCTTTAGATTGTTGTAACCTGGTGGAAAACAGCCCCAAGTGTGTTGGGACCCCTACGTTCTCTGAGCCCTCCGGCCCCTCTCTTCTTTCCCTTGTCTGCCCAGAGAGAACCTCCAGAAGCTCCCCCAGCTGGCTGCTATTCACCATAACAATTGCATGTACATTGCCCACCACCTCCTGACCATGGGCCACCAGTTCAGGAGCCGCCTGAGTGACGGGACAGCCACCTTCGTTGACTTGGTGCCCGGATTCAGGAGACTGGGTGAGGCTGGAGTGAATGGGGTTGTGTTGTGCTTACGTAGATCCTGTGCTGCTCCCGCTGGATGGGCTCCCGGTGCAGCGCTGCATTAAAGTGTGCTGAGACGGGGTGCCTGGGTGGGGGCATCCCCTGGGCCTGCCGCTGGTGAATACAGTTCTGATCCTAGGCTGTTCCCAGAAAGGGGTGGATGTCTCAGCCCACAGAGGGAGCAGCTCTTCTGCTGATGGTCCTTTGTGTAGTATTTCGGCGAACCAACCCAGGATGCAAACAGCCTTCTCTCTCTCTTTTTTAATTTATGTTTGAGAATGTTACATTCAGTAAAAGTCGAATCTAAAGAAAAAAGGTGCAGGAAAAGAAAGCCATGCAGTATAATGACTTCCAAGCTTCTCTTCGATGGTTACAGTCTTATAATCCTCCCTCCCTCTTAGATGTTATACAAACCCCTTCAGCCCCTCCCTTAGTCCATATCTTTTTCAGACCCATAAATCGTACCATTTTTTCCTCCTTTCAGCAAAAAGTCCACACAAGGTTTCCAGTCTTTCTGAAAATATTTTGTTGCTTTTTTCTCTGGCCAGACAGGCCAGCCTTGCCATCTCAGCGAGTTCTGACGTTCGCATGATCCATTCCTCCGCTGTGGGCAAACAGCCTTCTCCCTGACCCATAAAAGTTCCCCAGCAGTGAATTGCAGGGATGTGCTGGGTGGCAAAAAAAAGAACAGTTGGGGGGTTGTCAGATTTCATATCAAGGGGAATCTCTCCCCCTTCCCCTTCCAACCTGGGCCATTTATTTGTTCCTCTCCACAGGGGCGGTGTGTTTCCTTGCCCAGATGCGGGTGCAGAAAGAGGAGTTGCTGGAGAGGCTCTCCATCTCGAGGAATTTCTCCAACATGGATGACGAGGACAATTACTCTGCGGCGAACAAAGCTGTGCGTCAGGTTAGGAGGGGTGGAGCTCGGCAGAGCCCGGAAGGCCAGCGCACGGATTCCGCATGGGCTGCTTGGGGGTCCTAAGTACAGCCCGGACGTAACAGCCCTCCCCCACCTCATCCGGTCCCTCCCTGCATCTGAGATCCAGCAGCATTCTGCTGCTGATCCTGCAGGTTCCACGTTGGCATTCTGCCTAAAAGCACCAGAGACTGCCCGCCTCTGAAGCCAGTTACGCTTGTGACCTGTTGCCCTCTCTGGCAGCAGCGAGTGCTACATGTGAACCATGCATATGTACAAAAAGCCCTCCCTCCCTCCCGAACGTGCCACCAGTTCATTTTTCCTTGGATGTCCCTGAATCCTTGTGTTATGAAAGAGGAGGAGGACCCACCTTCCTTGCTCCACTTTGTAACTTTCTAGGATTTATTCACATCTCTAGCTCTTCCCACAAAACAGTTGTATTGTGCAGTATCACGGGTTCTCTCTCTGACTGCTGCTCCTTGCAGAGGATAAAAGGGCTGTTTCACTTTCTTCCAGGTTCTGCATCAACTGAAGAGGCTTGGCAAAGTCTGGCAGGATGTTCTGCCAGTGAACATCTACTGCCGGGCCATGGGGACTCTGCTTAACACTGCCCTTGTGGAAATCATTAGCAGAATCGTTGCTTTGGAGGTGAGGACCGAGCACAACATGGGGAAGTTCTTGGTGCAAATGTGTTTCTGGAGATCCAGCTCTGCTTCTTGGCTGAGCGGCTCCTGTGATGTGCACCAGGTCCAAAGGCTGGCAGTCTACAGCCACAGATTGCATCTCTCCGAGCAGTGGCACTTGTGCCTTCTAGTTTCCATGGAGCGAGCTGTGTTGCCTGAAAAATGATGCTTTTATTAGAGCAAAGAACGTTCGGTCGATAAGGTGCTTGATGTTGTGGGATATGGCTGGGGTTTTGTGAAGAAGCAGAAAGAATAGTGAGCTAAACCTTGCCTGCGCCATTGCTGGACTGGACTGGATTGCAATGTGTGTTTCCAGCTTGGTTAAAAAGGGCGCACTTTGTACAGGTGCGTAAGAGAAGCACCAGGAAACAATTCTCAGGGTAGCTTCTCTCATCAGACTTGGTGGTGGCACAAGAGCTTTACAGCCGGGTGTGTTGGATCTCATTTCCCATAATCCCCAGCCAGCACTGGATTGTGGAGAGCTACTGTAGAAATGGAGACCTTGAAAAGACTAGATTACAAGAATGTCAGTCTTGTTCATTTGAAAGCCGTTTCTGCTTCAGCCCCTGCATGGGGTAGTTTTCTACTAATTTGTTCATGTGGGAAATGTGGCTTTCAGTAACAGGTTGGAGGAGAAGACGGCCCCAGCAGACCTGGGGCCAGGCTTTCTGAATCCCTTGCTCATCCTCAACTCTCTTGCAGGATATCTCTGCTGAGAACGCCGACCGACTGCATGCCTTGTGCAAGACAGTGGTGGATGAGGGGCCTCAGGTCTTTGTACCCCTGCCAGAAGAAAAGGAGAACCGGCATTTCCAAGAGGAGGTCCCAGTTTATGTGCCAAAGTGGATTATGTTCAAGGAGCTCATGTTGGTGTTACAGGCCAGTCTGCAAGAAATCGTGGACCGGTGAGAGTTTCACCTGTTCCTCGTTCCGGTTTGGGTGGGGCAGCTGGGTGCAGAGATGGCGGGGCGTCTGCCTCTGAGCTGGGCCCCCTCCCAGTCAGATCGTTTAACCTAGGCAGACAGATTGGACTACTGCAGTGGTAAAAATCCTGTGCTGCTTTGGTATCCTTGATTCTGCTGAGTTCTTGATTTTTCAAAAGAGATTGTTGTCTTTGTAAAGCAGCTCCTTTTGAGAGGGGAGGAAGAAACTGAGGCAAGGATGGGTGAAGCAATAGTGCAGGCTTAGCCCTCCTCCTGAACCAGACTGTTGGGGAGCGGTGTTGGAACCGGCCACCCTGCCATGCGCCCTCTCCTTCTCTCCTCTTTCCCCTTCTCCCATCTTCTGAAATTAATCCTTGCTCCTTTCCTTTCTTCTTCGAAGCTGGGCAGGCAGCAAAGGGCCTCTTGCAGCAGAGTTCTCCCCCAGCGAGGTGAAGAGCCTCATCCGAGCCTTGTTCCAAAACACAGAGCGGAGGGCAGCTGCCTTGGCAAGCATCAAGTAGCTTTTGCACCTCTTCTGTTCCGGAAACGTCGCCCTGGGCGTGTTGCAATCCCTGCAGCTCGTGCTGCTGCTTCCCTTCCTAGAGTTCTTTCTGGGGCTGGCACATCTGGGGCTTCTGGAGGCTGAGCCTCTGGTTGGAGGAGCCCACTTCGCAACACCGACCGAGTCATCCGAGTGACCACCTCTAGACCTCCAAAACTAATTTCACGGCAGAACATGATCAACTGGAACTTCCACCCAAAGAAGATCCTGACTGGTCCAACTCCTGGTTCAGATCCTGGCAGCGTCCCTGCTTCCTGCGTTTGCCAAATCCATTTGGGCTTGCTGGAGCTCTGGGCAGCTGGGCCTCGCTGGGGCATCTCGAAACAGGATGTGTGGAGTCTGGATCGTGAAGAAACAGCATCTATGCAGCTTCTTCAAAGGGAGCCCTCCTCTTGTGCGCCTTACTGCTTCTCTTTTGCAAGTGGCTTTTAAAGCACATGTGACTTGAAAAAAAAAAACTTTCAGTGGCCTTTCAAGGCTCTTAAAGTGCCAAAGCATTCTTGTTCTT